GAACGTTAATCAACGAGTGATAACATGCCCCGATTAAAACTGGCAAGATAATGAACTCGTGGCTCAAGGGTTAGAGCATTCAACTTTTGATCAAAAGGTCGTGAACTCGGGTGGTGCACCACTTGGGGTTGGGTATGAATAGTTGACGATGGCTTATGAGTCAGAAATGGCCATCCCAGTCTTCCTTGTCTTTGTCGGCAATGCTATCTGCCTGGACTAATAGCCGTTATGCGGCTACTGGCAGGACTCCAGAATAAGTTACAAGACAAAGCGGGACGAGTGAGTTCCGTTAACAATCGGCGAAAGTTCATCAACGGGTTTCCATCATCCTCTATAAACATGACGATATCTAGGAAGGGGAGCTTGTTATACTGTCCAGTTTACATTGTGAATTGAATCTTTGGGCGTCAAGTATTCATAAAATTACGAAGGTCTTTGGCGGGAAGGATAACCACGGTTAAGTAGAGTTCTTTTGTTGTCTTAAAAACAACCCCATAAATGTCGGTCCACTTTCTATGAGCAATGTATTGTAATGCTTGGATAACGTCCAATCAGTTAAATGAGGATATATCGTTCATATTTTTATCTACCTGAATACAGGGAGACAGATCAGCTTTATTTTGAAAATATCACTCCAAACTTTTCAGCAAAAACATCCTGCATTCACAAGGAATAAGATTAGGCGCACAAATTCACAACACCAGGAAATCAAAAGTAATCCATAATCGCCAATGAATGCAATTTTCGACACCTTGGATAAATGTCCTTGAAAAAGTCGTCGACTATAGGCCAAATTGGATTTCTTTCAAAACGGCGCTAGCGTCGCGCACTGATGACCTCATTGTAGTTCAAATAAACAAAGAGGGATAAACGTCGGTTTATAATGGCCAAACCCACGTATATAAAAGAAAATTTACATGCGAATGGAGGGAGACTAGAAATGGTGGCCTTATTTTAAAATCTCGCTTTGCCACTTTGAATTGTCGTATTCAGACGACTGAGACGTCCTTTTCCAACCGGAAGTATTGTCCCAATTTACGTTCATTTATTCGCCAACTGTTCACTTGCTCAATAACTCTTTGTATGTGTGTCGGTGTACTAACACACAACCAGCTCCGCCGCGGATTGACCGTGGTCGCCTACGCAGCGAGTACGTCATTCGTGAGGGTGACGAGCTGGTGCTGCCCTGCCCAGCCACCGGATCACCAACACCCCGACTGGAGTTCACTCGCAGCGAGCTGAGCCCTGACTCGAACAAGGTAACCCAGCGCAAATTGGATTTGCCCAGTTCTCCCGTGGACAGTCAGTTCACCAGTGGAGATTCCGACTCCATCACACGTCGTGCGGTCGTTTCTCAGGTAGCTTTTCCTTTTATAAGTTTTATAGATAACAATTGGATAAGCAGTGGATATTTTAAAAATACACTGAAATAACTGCTACATGCATTTCAGTAGGCTTATGCTTATTTATTTTATATATTTACATTTAAAGCTAGGAAGGTCCCATCATTTTAATTAGATAGTTCACTACATGAGTGAAGGCAATTACTGTATGCCGCCTGCGTGCTTAAATTATTCGTCTTAACAGTAACTGCCTTGTCCGTGAATGATAGCCAGGCAGGTTAAAACGAGACTAATTGTCCTGACAAGCCCTCACATACCTAGGAAGGAATGCTCAAATCTTTCGTATGTTGTTTTGCAGGATCGACAGTCACTGACCATTTTCAGGGTCACCAAAGGCGATGCTGGAACCTACCAGTGCAATGCCAGCAATGAAATTGGTTGGGACACCATGAAGTACACCGTACGAGTCCGCGGTAAGTTGACACCAATGTCATCTATTTACGTAAGTTGGTGAGCACTAGTCTGAAATCATTCGAAAAGTCGAGAGCAGCAGTCATGATTGTATCTTTTAAGTTGTGAATTTATCCAGCGCGCCATTATCTTCAAGACAAGTCATGATTAATAGGAGAAGACGGAAAGCAACAGATGGATAGGACAGCATCCTGCCAGGCAACCGAAGTTGCTCTCCGTGGCGGCGGTAGCCACTCGCGAAACTGGAGCGTGTGCTAACAGCTTAATTTGATGCCTGAGAG